CCCACTTTGATTCCTGCTCCACCCAAAGTTTAAAACCAACTGTCTGGCAGTGGCCGCAGCATTTCTAGTCAGGCAGCAGTGAGGGAGTCACTTGACTTTATGGCTCATTGTAATCTACCTGATCCCTTCTAAATTCTTCATTTCACAGATGTTAATGACTCTCTCTCCTTTGTAAAGGTCTTTAAAGGTTCCATTAATCAAGCTATCCTTTGGGCTGCAATTCTGCTGTCTGCTAGCTGCTCCTAGTAATGTAGCTCCTATTTCATAGCCCTGCAGACTCTGATTAGAAACATAAATCAGGATTACAGTGAAGCACTGGATGCACTGCCAAGATGCTCAGGAAGACTTGTTTTTGTTTCATGAATATGAAAGAGATGTACAGTTAATTCTAATGACTACAGGATTAATGAAACATCTTTTGATTATTTTTGCCTAGTTTGTTGTGTTTTTATATAAAATATATGAAGTAGCAAATTGAGCATATTCCAGTTAACCCACCCAGTTGGCCTGCCTGGGGTCCAAGTAGAGACGGCTACTCTCAGATCTGGGAAGCAGCCTGTCTAGAGCACAACAGTGTGGTTGAGAGCCCTGTTGTGGCACATGGTAAGTTTACTGGCCTGAGGCCCTAACCCAGGAGGATGAGAGGCTCATGTGAAAGAAAGAGAGAGAGTAAGAAAGAGAGAACAAGAAAAAGAACATAAGAGAGAAAGAAAGAACAAACTAAACAAAATGAAAGAAAGAAGAGAAAGGCCAAGGCTGTCCCAGAACCACCTAATTTGAGGAACTGAGGTTGTAAGAAGAAATGCTTTGAGGATTGTGATAAATCGTGTGTTGGCAACGCTGAGGATGGGACAGAAGGAACACCGGACACTTGGAAGGAAAGCAGATTTAAGAGTAATACTTACATTTTCTTTTCTACTAAGTTCTTGGTTCAGTATTAGAAGAAAGCAGCTCTTGTTTAGGATTCTCCACTGCTGTCACATGACAGAGGCCAGGCCTTGTTACTCTCCCTTTGCATCAGTGTTACTGAGCCCTACGTACTTTTGAGATCCAGGGTTGGGTAGCATTTGTCCCCCTAACTCTAACATCTGTCTGTCCTATCCTTTCCTAAACCTTGGGAAGACCTTTGAGAGAATTATGAAGGAGCACATCTGCAAGGGCCCAACAGGGGAGGTAATGCTCAGAAGCAACCAACATGGGTTCATTGCGGGCAGATCCTGTCTGACTAACCTGGTTTCCTCTTATGATCAGGTCACAAAGTCCCTGGACGAGGGCGTTGAGGTGGATGTCGTCTTCCTGGACTTTAAGAAGGCCTATGACACTGTTTCCCACCACATTCTCTCAAAAAAACTAGGTGACTGTGGCACTGATGCCTACACAGTCAGAGGGGTGGCAAATTGGCTCGATGGTCAAACCCAGAGAGTGGTGGTGGATGGGTTGTTTTCGAACTGGAGGGATGTGGGCAGTGGAGTCCCCCAGGACTCGGTCCTGGGACCTGTACTGGTCAACATCTTTATCAGCGATCTGGAGGTGGGTGTGGACAGCACACTGTCCAAATTCACTGATGAGACCAAGTTGTGGGGTGAGGTGGGCACACTGGAGGGGAGGGACAATATTCAGCCAGTTCTAGACAGGTTGCAGAGGTGGGCGGATGGGAATAGGATGGAGTTCAACACAGACAGGTGCAAGATGCTACATCTAGGGAGAAGGAACCAGCAACACACCTACAGGTTGGGGAACTCCCTTCTTGCCCACACGGTGGCAGAAAGGGATCTTGGAGTCATTGTTGACTCCAGGATGGACATGAACCACCAATGTGAGGAAGCGGTCAGTAAGGCTAACTGCCCCTTGTTGTGCATCCATAGATGCATCACGAGCAGGTCCAGGAAGGTGATCCTTCACCTCTCTGCAGCATTGGTCAGGCCACAGTTGGAGTAGTACATCCAGTTCTGGGTGCTGCACTTCAAGAGGGATGTCGCTAGCATTGAGAGGGTCCGGAGGAGGGCCAGTTGCATGGTCAAGGGGCAGCGGGGCATGCCCTACGAGGAGAGGCTGAAGGGCCTGAACCTGTTCAGCCTCCACAAGAGAAGGCTGAGGTAGGATCAGTGGGAATTGGATGAGGCTCTGTTCTCCAGGCACCGCCTGGGGTTACTAGGAATTACGGCTACAAATTGTTAGAAAGAAGGTTCAGGCTGGACATCAGGAGACATTACTTTACGGTTAGGGCTGCCAGGCTCTGGAATGGGCACCCAAGGGAGGTGGTGCTCTCTTCTACCTTAGGGGCCTCCAAAAGGAGGCTGGACAGATATTTGGCTGGGGTGTTATAACCCTGCACTCGTTCCTGTCCGGGGCAGGTGGTTGGACCTGATGATCTGTTTAGGTCCCTTCCAACCCTAAGCACTATGAAACTATGAAACCCTGGATATCTTCAATGATAGCAGCTCTGTGTCCGCCATATATTATAGATTGTATTGTGCAGAGAACCTGATTCCCTGCAGCTGGTGAGGAAAGGTCACTGCCCATCTGCGCACCAGAAGGGACATGCATACATGGGGTGTATGACCATCTCCTTGTCTTCTGGTTTTCGATGGTGCTGGCTGATGGCAGAAGCTGCTAAACTCATGAAGTCATTTGTACTTTAGGTGCCCTGGATATGCTCCATGTCCTGTCAGATTGCCTCACTTCTCAGAAGTCAACCACATTTTGGGTGCTGACTGCTTCCAGGAATCACAACTTCCTCTATGGTCAGGCCTTCACTAGGCCTTAGTTCAAGAAGCGCTAGTTAGCTCCTTGGCAGATTTTAGTTGTGCTTCCTTGCGGCAGTGGCACTTTAGTGCATGTTCTGCTTGCATTGGCTTCTTGGGATAATCAGCCCCTCTCTCTAGCGTGGCATCCCATCATAACTGTATTTTCTCACTGTCATCCTGTCTGCCCTCCTCTCTTCCTCTGAACTGATCTGATTGAATGGGGCAGACTTTCTTGCCCTTTGGATGGATTGATCTCCTCTGAACTCCTTGCCTGTTGACCTCACCTAGGTGTTGAGGTCACCTAGGTGTCCAAGTCAGACCACATACTTGACACCCTTCAGCCTACACAGTCCACCAAATATTTATGATATTTGTGGTATGCTTTGAACTCAGAATGGGGAATTAGTGTAAACAGCCATGTAACCATGTACATGACTGGATGCCAGCTTGTGAGGGTGCCTGCTGTAGGTGTTCAAGGCCAAGCTCTGATTTGAGCAGTCTAATTTATGCAACATTTGCTGAAAACTGAGTGCTGTTGTTTGAGAAATCTGGGGCATGGAGCTGTCACCAGTGCCCTAAATGGCCCTAACCAGTGCTAAGGCAACGGAAAGAATTACCTCATTTGTTCTACACGCAGTCCTATTAATGTAGCCCAATATAGCATACTCCGTTTTTACTCTAGCTTTGCACTGCTGACTCATATGCGATCCATCACTCTTTAAGGCCCTAGATCCTTGCATTTGGAGCTGTTACCCAGCTGGTCAACCCTTTTTCTGTTTGGAAGTATGATTATTGGGGTATGAAACCACCTGCAGTCTCTTCTCACTGATTTCAGCCTCTTTTTCCAAGACAGGCAGGCCTGCATATATTTTAGTCCTACCCTCAACTTTAAGGCCTAGTTATTTCCTCTCTTCACCAGCCTTATAGCAAAAAATTAAGTTAGCCCGTTGTTAATGTGAGATACTTTGGCAGTACAAGAGACCTGGCTTTCTGGCTCCCTGTCTGAATCAGCAACATACACATGGCAGGGAGAGAGAAAACCAGGCACTGTGTACATGCATGCACCTGGGTGAGGCTGTATAGCACACATGTGCACGCATACACACATGCATGCATGCTCGGGGGGGGGTAAGGCAACCACACAGTGTTGTATACTGGTAGTGACTGGTGTTCTGTATTTCCCTCATTAGTAGCCCCCAGCTACACATCTAGTTGTTGTGAATGAACCCATGGATCTGTCCAGTGATTGCTCTGAGTCTTGCTCAGGGGGCTGTGCTGATCTGCTGCCTTGATCCAGTTGCTGGCTGCCACCTAATCAACAGAACTGCTTCCTTATCCCTCCCTGCTTTGGCGGGGGAGGGGGCAGCTAGCTATGCCCCATGGGTCAGGCACTCCTAGCTCTTCCCCATAGCCAGGAGCCAGGCAATCCCAGTCCCTCTCAGGCCCTTCATCAGCTTTGTATCAATCCACACCACCTTGCTAATACTCAAATCCAGGGAGGGCCTTGGAGCTGGGAGGATGTGACTTGTGCCATAAGTGCTGGGACCTGCTGGACCATCCCTCCCAAAGACAGCAGAGTCCAGGGGGAGAGGAGGTGTTGACCCATGTGGGATGCAGAAAGGGCCAGGGCAGAGATGCTGCTTGTATTGTAGAAGCTATGATTGTAACTGCTGCTGCTTTCTCTGAGGCATTCATTGGAAATCTTTAAGCCCAGTAATTCTCTGTCCTGCCTGCATCTGGCTGGGGGGATCTGAGGATCCCATGTAGAAGGTGGTTCTGTGGTAGTTTTGACTGGCCAAAATGGGAGTGACTCCCTTCAGGATTCCCAACCCCATGCCCAGCACAGAGTAGCTCAGCAAGAAGGGAGCTCAGCAGAGCACAGCTTACATATGCAAAGCTGTGGAAGGTCTCCATCCACAGCCTGAAAGCTGTATGCTTGCCCCAGAAAACCTCGGCTCCATTATGCCTTCGACTTCAACAGCCATGACATCCCCTAATCAGAGAGCCTCAGAGGCCTAGATGATTGCCTGGCTAAGGACACCTATCTCTCGGGGGCATGCACTTGTCTGAAGAGACTGAGCAGCACCAGGGTGCAGTCTTCCTGTCTTAGTGCCATGTTTCCTCTTCTTCAAGGCCTGAGTGCCCTGGGTTGGCTGAGCAGGAACACAGAAAGCTAGCCGTGTCTGGTCACTGAATTTGGCAATGAGCCACTCAGTAAAAAGCCACCCCCCATCTCCATGTTGTGTGTTTCAGGATGAAGAACAAGCTGTGGTACTTTGAATTTGGCACAACGGAAACCTTCGCTGCCACCTGCAAGAAGCTCCATGACTATGTGGAGATCGAGGTGAGTTCTCAGGCTCAGATCTGCTGTTCCCACTGGGGCCCTTCCTTCCCCGCAGCGTGTGGTTGGTAGCCTTCCCAAGCCTTGCTCCTCTGGGAACGAGGCTCCAGTGCCTGGCTCTGACCTGCTGGTGGTGAGACATCTCCCCATAGAGGGACTGTGTGGCAGGGCAGTGGGTCACGACAGGGAGCCGGGGGGATGGAGGAGGATAACATTGTCCAAAGTGCCTGAGTGAGTGAGAAGTCTCAGTCCCATTTGCAGAAGTGACTGAAGGGATCTCTACACCCTTTCTCCAGAGTGCTGGAGACCATGCCAAGGAGCATGGCTCTGCCCCCTGCGACCACGCTGCACACACAAAACCTGGATCTGAGGAAGTGAGGCTGCCCCTGGAGACCCCTCTGTCACCAGTCTTGAGCACTCTCTCTCCCTCTCCAGCCTGTCTGAGCATCACTTCATTGCCTTATTTCCAGGTTTAGCATAACGGGAGGGGGGAGGGGCATGCCTCTTGGCAGCAAACCCAGGGTACCGTGAAAGTAGTCTATAGATACTTGGGGCTCAGAAAGATTGGAAAATGCAGTGGTGTGCTAGGTGGGATTCAGAAGAGCACCTAAAGGAGTGCTTTAACAAAATACTTGTTAAGACTCCTATTGGAGTCTGTGGAGGCTGCACGTCCAGCCTGCTCAGAGGCTTTTGAAACGCCCCCTGGACATACATCTCTGAGTTTAAGCACCTTTGAAAATCCATCCCTAGATACTAACAACAGTTTTGAAAATGAGATTTAGGTTCCCAAGCCACTTAAGCACTTCGGGCATTGTTAGCCTCAGGTCCCTAATATATTTAGGTGCTTTGGAAAATAGTAACTGCAGGCCCAGCAATGCTGTTCCTTCCTGCTTCCATTTTTGTGTCCTTTCTGTACCACTTCAGAGCAAAGGTAGGTTTTCCATCTTTACCAATACACATTATAGCTGATAATAAGACTGTGACCTCAACCCAGACAGCTTTTTTTCCAGTGTATTTGTACAGCACCTGGCACAATAGGACCTGGTTCTTGAGTGGACGTGACTATAACGAATATCATACATAAGAATAATGAGAGCGCTGTGGTGAGAAATCCCTGCTTCTGACTTGAAACATACCAATTACGCAGCCCCTTGCAAATATTTCAGCAAATTCCCATGAAACAATCGCATCCTTTTGCTCCGTGTTGCTGATTCCTGAGCTGTTGGTATGTAAATAGAAGCACTCTCCACTGAAAGCTCCGTTCTTTTTCCAGATTCAATTAGTGATATTGCAGTCTGACACTGGTGAAGTCACCGCACTGGGCTGTGATGTCACTTGGCACCCTGAGCTAGGGGGCAGGCTGCTTATAATGGAACAAGTTTCTATTTACAAGCTGATCCACTGATTAGCAGCAGTGATCAGAGGAAATGGATGAGCCAGTTTGGTAAAATATTTTGTTAAAGTTTGTATATGGGAAGGTGGAGTCTCTTTAAACACACACCAGACATCTCGAATCAGGGAGCTGGCTGTAACTGGAGCCAGCTGCAGGAGAACAGAATAGTCCTGTTTTTTTCCTCCTTACAGCTGTAGTTGAGAGTGTGCCTGGAATATTCTCTGTAAACTCTGTGTCTGCACACAGCCGTCTTTGGATTACATGGAAACAGCCTTTAATTAGAGGAAGGCGGAGGGGTGAGCTGCTTGCCAGCGGTTGCTATGAGCCATGGCGTTTTACAGTTCGCAGTGGTGTTTTTGTGCTGTGCTTTTTGTAAACTTCCTGCTTTTCTTATCTCAGAATAAATGAGCCATTTATTATTTATTCATGAGGGCGAGAGAAAAAAAAAGGTCAGTTGACACAAAGGCCGACGTGGAAGTGGCCATGCAAGCTGGGCTGCTTGCAATTTAATTCATGTCCTAGTCGAGTGCATGCCAGCAAAGAAAATCCCAAGACACCCAAGCCTGGAGGAGTGTCTCTTGCCCCCTAATTATAGTCTGTGTGGGAAAGGTTGGGGGAGCTGAAGGGGAATTGCCTACTTTTGCCTGGAAAATTCAGCACTGTGGACCTGCATGGGAGGTGGGAGAATGAAGGCTAGAGATAGCTCAGGAACGGGGAGGTAACATGGAAGCACCTGAGCTAGTCAGAAACGGCACCACATATTCAGTCCATTCACAGGCACAGAAATGCCATGGGATTTCACCTCCAGCTCTGGCATTTGCCTCCCTTTGTTATGGCAAAATGTCCTCAACCTCTGTCCCAGGAAGTGGAAGAGACAGAGGTGCTGGACAAATGGACTTGGCATCTAGGGGGCTGCTGGGTAGCTGAGCACAGAGGACAAGATGGTGCACCAGCTTTTTTCTTTGCTCATTCCTCTGACCACACCACTCCCTTTGCATCCCTCCACCAGCTCCCTCTGCTCCACCATCCCAAGCTGGCACTTGATTCCTAGAGACCCCAGGCAAACCATGGGTCTCTCTCTGCTTCTACCTGCTTACTGGGTGTCTGGCATTGACTGAGCCCAGAGGGCTGTGATTGCTTACCCTAAAACCAGTCCTACACCTGCTACATCAGTCACAAGAACCTTGTCCTTAGCCATTCTCCATGTAGCCCTGCTGGGATGCAGTGATGCCAGCCTCTATCACCTGCCTGTCTGCTTCTCCCTTGAGGATCTCCGTGCCCAATTCCTATACTACCCCTTCTGTCTCCCCATGAATCCACCCATAGCTGGCATTAGCTAGCAAGGAGCAGGCTGAGGCTTCAGATGTTCTGGTCCACTCGGCTTGCTTTATGTTCATTGTATCCTCCCAGCCCACCTCCCCCACCTTTTGGTCCCTGTTGCACACCTGTGGCACCCAGTCTGACTTGCAGGGTCATGAGTGTTAAGAGCAGGGCCTGTCATCTTTGTTACATGCCTGTACAGATCCTGGTACATGCGACCCAGACCCTTAATGGGGACATTACCATAATGAAATACTAAATAGTCATAGCAACAGAGGAGAGGTTAGGGGAGCTCACTGCATGGTCTAGAGGGGATATGGACACTATCCATCACTAAATATCATTGGAGGAGGGAAATCATTCACCTCACACAGGTGAAAAAACAGGAGTTTGTCATTAAGAAGGGCTAAATTTAGCTTAGATACAAGAAACAGAAATACAAGAAACCGAGTGGTTGGACAACAGAATAATTATCAAATGGAAGGTGTGCAAGGCACCGTCATTACGGATGCTGAAGGACAGGTCAGCTGAGTACCGGAGAGGTTTCCGATTGAATGACCTGGTGGACTTCTGACCCAGAACAGCTCCCTGATCTTGTGACTGGACGGCCTCCCCAGAGCGCTCTTCTGGCCAGCTTGCATGGCAGAAACACAGGCTGACTAAACAGAGAGGCCAATCACAAAAATGGTGATTTCTGAATGATGTCTGAGGGCAGGGTAATGCGGGATGCAGAGGCAGACTGTTGTGGTACATAAACCTCCAAACACATGGTACTTCTGCCAGGGGCCTGTGGTGGTGGGGAAGGGGACTGCTAACATCCCAGAACTCTCCTGGCCTCTGCCCTGTACTCCACGGCAGCTCACCCCAGGCTCTCCAGGCAGGGTTTCCCTCCACGACTCGTGCAAATGCACTGTCAGTTTTCCCCGGCACTCCATATCACTTGCAGGCGTGCATTATACAGCATACAAATTGCAATCCCAGGCAAGAAAATGTTAATTTAGCAGCACTTTAAGCTGAAAGTAGCAGCCTGTGCTCCCTCCAGCTCTGAGGCAACTGTCGTGATTGCAGAGAAATGGCAGTTTTGTTTTGGAAATTGGCATCCGTTATGGGATAGCTCCTGGAACTGAATTTGGTTTTCCCCCAGCTGCAAATTTCGACTTCCAGCCTCCCTGCCAACACCCCGTCAGCTGCCCCTTCTCAAAGAGACCGTTGTACCACGTTGGCGCACAAACAGAGGAGGGTTAAAGAGGGGAAAAATAACATTCTCTGCTCATTGGACGGCCTTCGGTATGGTGTGTATATATGTGGCATCTGTACCACATTCTTAGAGCCTTCCCAAACGTGCCAGCGTCCTGCTTATCCTGCTTAACAGTGGATGGTGTTTCTTTCTAGTACCCTCATCTCCACAAAGAAAGTTGGTGGCATCTACAGGATTTAGGAACTTATGTTCCTGCTGGGCGAGGGCGCGGACCCCTGCTCTTTCTCCGTTCACAGCAGTAATGTTTAATCTAAAGCATTCCAAGCAGACAATCTTGGTGCCTCTTCCCAGCTATTCGTGTCTCTGTTTATTCATTTGTTTCATCTGTTCAGCCGCCATGGCTCTATCAAGCCAGTAATCTACAGTGTCCCTGCTGCCTCAGCTCCTGCAAGGTGTCCGGGAGCTAAACTGTGAAATGGGAGGGCCAGAGGCCTGGTGCACAGACTTTAACGACCCTGGCACTGCTGAAATAATGCAACCGCCACAGTGTCGACACACGCTGAGAGTCTGACCAAGCCAAACAGCCCACAAGGTTTAAGACCTAGCAGTTTCTGTAGCCAGCAGCACACAAGGCAATGATACATGTAACATCCAGTCCAGCCACTTGACTTAGCAACCTGAACAATCAGGTGCCTGTTTACAGCTAGGTCAATGGGAGCAGCCTGCGGCACAAATTCAGAGCTTGGTGTTGCGGCTCTGGAACCACTAGATGCCTTAACCACTGCCCGCCAATGTGGACTTACTTATACCAGTACATTGGGCCAGTAAAGCTTATCCCCATTAGGTGACTATCTGCTTCTTCGGGTGACTAAGCACCTCTCTAAGCCTTGCCTCTAAATCCCTATTTAGAAGCTTTAATCAGCATTTAGCTGAATTTGCATGCGAGTGCCCAAAGCTGCATTTGGGTAACTCTGCACATAGGTGTGTGCCAGCCCCATCTGCAAATGGGGTTAACCATTCTGGGTGGGTTCTGTGCCTCCTCTACAGCAAATCTGAGCATATGCTGGCAAGGGGGAGAGGTTTGTTTCTCAGCAGCTGTCTCGAAATCGCCACAGCAGTGATATACACAAGCCTTCCGTATGTGTGTATGTGTGCATTAATGATTAACAGCTGCTTTCTGACACGCTTTTGGGTTTGAGCCCTTAGATGTGGCATTCAAAATTGACTGAAGTATGGACAGACAGACAGAGAAGTGCCATGGTGTTAAGTGTAGGACCATGCTTGGCTCAGCCAATTAATATATTAATATATATTTTGACTTATGAGGAGAGGCCGAGGGAACTGGGTTCATTTAGTCTGGAGAAAAGACTGAGGGAGAATTTAATAGCAGCCTTCAGTTTCCTGAAGGGTACTTCCAAAGAGGATGGAGCTGGACTGTTCCCAGTCGTGGCAGATGACAGAACAAGGAGCAATGGCCTCAAGTTGCAGCAAGGGAAGTTGATGTTAGATATTAGGAAGAACTTTCTCACGAGGAGGGTGGTGAAGCACTGGAACAGGTTACCCAGAGAGGTGGACTCTCCATCCTTGGAGGTGTTTAAGACCCTGCTGGACAAAGCCTTGGGTGGGATGATCTAGTTGGGGCTGGTCCTGCTTTGAGCAGGAGGCTGGACTAGATGTGACCGCCCGAGGTTCCTTCCAACCCTCATTGTCTGTAGTTCTATATTGAGTGTTACAATCTCTCATTATGGGCCAGTAGCACATTATTCTGGGTGTGGTACAAACACATCAAAGTAATTTTTAAAGAAAAAAAAAGTATTATTACTTTAAGAATCATGCTGGAGAGTAGGGCTGTGCAAAGCTTCAGGTGCTGATTCAATTCAGAGGAGATTCGGCCTGATTCAGAGGCCAAATCTCTGAATCCGAATCAAATCAGGAGAGCGATGAAAAGGTCCGAATCGATTCGAAGCTCTCCAAATCAAATTGGAAAAGATTCGGAGAGCTTAGGCAATTTGGGCAGTCCCTGCTTTCTGCTGCAAGGAGGTGGACCCAGACTCCATGCTAGTAAGTAGGGGTGGGGGAGTGGGGAGGGGAACATGGGGGGACCCCTGCCTCCTCCCCCATGGCTGCCCCATCTGCCCCAGCTCCCGGCCCTTTAAAAAAAAGAAGCAGCCCCAACTCAGTGGCTGCTGCAGCTGCCTTGGGGTTTCTGGGGGCTCCAAGCTGTAAGCCCCCAAAGCACAGCTTATGACTTAAAATACATAGAACGTTTCTGGCTTCTCATGTTTGAAGCTGAGCTGAAAAAAGAGCTCCAAGCATGATGAAGGAGAAAATACACATGTATATACAAACATACATGCATATAAGTATGCACATATATGTATACCCTTGCAGTCCTATAGTCACACGTGTATGCATGCAGTAACATATAATTAGTTTCCTACTTTTGACCCTGAATCTTATTACAAATAAAGCAGAGGCCCTCACTGAACAAGAAAGAGAGTGTCAAAAATTCTAGCAATGTAAAGTTCTTTATTATCTAGTACACTTTCTTCTTTGTAAAGCAACATGGAGGACAAACCTCATCAGAATCGAAAGAAAAATAACTTTTCTAATCCTGAATGATCCATAGCTTAGTAGGCAAAAGAACAAATACTTTCATCCTGGAGAAACACATTCACAATTTAAAAAGGAGATTCCTTCCCCATTCATGGCTGTTGTAGCCAGGTCAAGGAAGCTAGTTACTTTTCTACCTTGAAAAAAGACCCCTTTATTTTTACAAATAGAAGTCAACAAATAACTATGTCTGGATACCAGTATTTTGGGAAAGTTTGGCAGAATTCACAGACCAAGTGTTTTTGTTTAAGATACAAAATTCCCTGCAAGCTTGAATGAAAAGGAAGGAATTATACAATTAAAACATTACCGTTATATTTACATGTTCTCCCCCTCTAATCATACAGGAAAACCACAAATACAAATATTGGACTTTTAAGTATAATTTTTCAAGTAATGCAATTTTCTTATGTAATGCTGTGGAATCCTTAATAACAACTCCAAGCAACGTTTTATTGCTTTCCTACAGAGTCTCCAAAATTGCCGTTTTTCTTGCATTTTTTTCCTTTTTTAATATCATTTTCTGCCAGAGTCAACTCTATTTTCCAAATTGCCTGTTTGAAAAAACAGTATCCAGTTATCAAAGTAATCAAAGTACTACTCTAGATTTTAAATGGCCAGAACAATTTCTTCCCTAAAATAAGTTCCAATAATAGAAGAAGGCACAGGGAAAATTAGATAAGTGGAATATTTCTAAGCCGCAGTAGCTAGAACAGGGTGGTGATTGACTTGTGATTAGAAAAACTTTCCTTTTAGTGACATCAGTTCCACTTGAAGTCACTCTGACAGCTGCTACAAATTATCTAATAAGACTTCTCTCTTTTTTTTTAAGTTTTTATGTAAAATACATTGTGAAAAGAGAAATGTAGGCTCTTATAGCTTAAAAAGAAAGAAAGAACAAAAAGAATGAATTGTCCCTGGCTCTCTAAGGCTAAACTCTATTTGAAAGCTCTGTGTAAATGCTCTGCTCTGCACTATTAGAAGCAGACTTGCTCACACAGTAACACACACAACTCTGAAAGTCCACATACTGCACATGCCTCTTTTACCAGTGATGGGTAGTGCTGATAGCAGCTCTCCAGCAATGGTGCCAGTTTTAAAAACAACTTGCTGAAAAATACTAATTGGTTTTCTTGGGAAATTTCAGACTCCATTTTTAGTTTTGCTAAAATTTTCCAATGACCAAATTGTTGGTATTTGAACAAATATGTAGTAGAAAACTGAAAATTAAATGGTTTTTGAAGACCTTCTTTCAGTTAGAAGATTAAGGTTCTGTTAGAAAATGGGAGCTGGTTTTGTTGACATTGTTCTACAAAACAGAAATTATTCCATGAAGTTTAACCCCCTCCCCCCCCCAAAAAAAACAACCCCAACCCTTTTAATTAAAAATATATTGAGAGGGAAATCTTTTGAGAAGCTCTCACTTTAAGCTGCTTATGGCTTTGCTCTTGCGTATATTAGAGATCATCTCTCCTTTTGTGTCATACTGTGACAGCTGAGAACAGAGGAGCTCACTGTACTCACAGTCCCTGCAGCAGGTAGCTAAGTCTAAGGGGGAGTGACATGACATTCTCAACGTAGGCCATCTTATCTGAAATTAACTTCCTCCTAGCTTAGTCCTTGACAACCTGATTCTGTGGCTCTACGGGACACGAGGCAAAGCCTGCCTCTCTGGCCCAATTTCCAAAGAGAAGACTGCACAGGGAGAGTGTCATTGTTTGTAAAGCAAAGTCTGGAGTGGAGATTGCATCAGTTTTGATTTATCTGATACTTTCCCCGGGGCCTGTGTACACTCCTGGAGTAGTTATGAAAGACGCATGAAATGTATTTGAAAAAGAAACAAATGCAGGCCTGTGGGTCTTTGCGGCCTGAGGAGGCCAAGCCCTATGTATCAGGGGCAAGCAGACAGGGGTGTAAGGAGGAAACAAGGCTATGACTATCAAGCTTCGGTTTTGAAAGGGCTGGATGCTGAGTGTCCTGAACAGCTGCCGAGGACACACCATGGAGAGGTAGATGCCAAGCACGAGTCCCACTTGAGCTGCCTAAGAGATCGATTCCTGAGCTATATCCAGGGGCTTGGCTAGGAGCCAGCACAGCACAGACCCCAGAGTGATAGCCAAAGCGTTGACGTGCTGTCTGTGCATGTAGGTTGGAAGACAACAACTCCGGCTTCCTTGGATTTGGTTCAGCAAAGCACTTAAGCATGTTCTGCTCTCCAAGCACATGACCATTCAACTGGACTGTTCATAAGCTGAAAGTTGAGCACATGCTTTGGAACCTTGCTGAATCGAGGCCAAACCCAAAGTGCCCCTGGAAGCATTTCGCTGTTGATTCCTCCAGACACTGCCTGGCCTCCACCCTTATCCAGGCAGCAACAGTCACTAGCCATTCAGATGGAAACACTTGACCCTTCTCTCCCCTAAGAGATTTGCTTAAAAATTGTAACCAATTGGTTGGCCACAAGGGACCACTAGACCAGCGTTTCTCAGCCCATGGGTTCCAACCCAAAAGTAAATCGCAAGGTTGCGAATAAACTTTAAAAATGGATTCTCCTTTAACAGATAAAAGCATGGAAAGTCAGGGCTTTTCCCTTGCTGTTTGGCAGAGTTTCAGCCTGCAAGGGGCTGCTTGGACCCTCCCCCCGCCCCACACGCTAGGGGGCTGGGGGCAAAGGGTGGGAGTGAAGAGCACTGGGTGGGGACTGGCCAATGATGTTTACAAATGGGTCCTGGTACGAAAAATGTTGAGAACCAGTGCATTAGACCATCATCTAATTTTACTCAGAATTCCACTGGGTCAAAGCAAATCTTCCAGAAAGGCAAATAAGGCGTGTCTACATGTGCACTTTAATATGCAGTGGCCTATTTTACTTCACATTAAAGCAACACACAAAACTGTATTTGCGCTATGTAATTATGCTATGTAAAATAGGCTACTGTGCATTAAGCATCACTTTAAAAATGTGCTTTCAGTACTGTGTATTAGGGCAGCCTAACACGCTTTTATTTAGAACTTCACATTAGGTTCTGAATTGAATGTGCATTAGGAAAAGTGCATTAATGCATGTATAAATGTGCCCATAGGGTCTACGGGGGGCGCTGACATTATTTACAACCACCCCTCCATTCTCAGACTTGCATTGGTGAGATTCCTACCGGGGGGCTGCCTTTTCTGTTTGATGCTCATCACAGTATTGAGGCCATTAGGAACATCCTTCTGCAGCAGAGACCTCACTGCTTGTCCTGCCCTGCCCTCCTCCAGCACTTGAGGTGACAGAAGCACCCCTAAGAGCCTGGCTCCCTGAGGCCATGCACTGGTGCAGTCTCTGTGTCACTGTTGTCTGCCCACAGGTGCAGTGCCCTGCTCGATATGTAATCCAGGATGCCATTAAGTATTTAATCCCTCACTGTGCCTGCCTGTCTGTGTGCCTGCCAGTGTGATGGAACGCTGCTGGACCTGAGCAACACCTCGCTGGAGGGCATTGCGGTCCTCAACATTCCCAGCATGTACGGGGGCTCCAACCTGTGGGGAGAGACCAAGAAACAGCGCAGCTACAACCGGATGAGCAAGAAAGTACCTGAGAAGCTGCATTCCACTGTGGTCACCGATGCCAAGGAACTCAAGTTCTGCGTCCAAGGTGAGCCACTCATGCCATCGGTTACGGGGCTGAAAGAGGGTGGCGGAAGGGGACGTGGCAGGACTGGTTCAAGTTGCTAGGGTGATGAAAAGCGTATGTTCTTCTGAGGACTTTATGCATGGCTTAAAACAGGAAAGCAAGAAGAAATGGTATTACCTACAAGTAGATTTCTTTTTCATGAGCATTTAGCTGACCCGGAACAGGAGCAAATCCATGATGTCCCCTTCACCTCATTGCCTTTGTCTGTTGGCACAGGTCTAGTGATACTGAACATTTTCCTGCCCACTGGCCAACACTTGTAAGCCCCAAAGAATGGTCTGTTCGGGTTGGCCGAAGACCATCTCAGAATGGTCCCAGTTCCTCAAAATGATTTCTAGGCATAGAAGGCTTTGTGCTATTGGTATGTAGAATGGGGAAAGCCTGCATCTGAGGATCTCTCGCAACCATGCCCTCCACACATGTCTCCCTCTTTGTCTTCTTTCTAAGAAAGGACTCTGTGGTGCAAATCCCACAGTTGTTTCAACTCTACAATGGCAGACCCAGTGGGGTGCCTGAATTAAGGCACATAATGCCATAGGGACCCCAAGCACCATGAAGAAGGGCACAGCATAACAGATAGACAAGGAAGGGTGGCCTTGATGTTACCATGGCCTGAAACTCAGAAAGTCTGGGAGCAATACCCAGCGCTATCCTAAACTTCACTGGGCCTTGGGTAGATCTTCATAAACTACCATAGATACAATACCATAGCTTTTTCTGGACCTGTAAAGTGGGGGGTCACCCTGCCTCCTCTGCTTGCTATTTCCATTTGGATGGGTTGTAAGCCCTTCAGGGCAAGGAATTCCTTCTTTCTCTTTCTCTCTCTCTGCACAAAGGCAAGAGAATGGTTCCTCCTGCGTCCCTGGCATCCTGGTGTAAGGGTGGGCCAGGCTCATATGAAGTCTGTCAGGCATACCAGCCAGGCTCTGGATTAATAAACAGAAGTTCCTGGGGTAGGGGACAGGTCAGGGAGATGCGGCCACCATGCCCTGTGGGTCCTGATTCAGAGCTGCAGAGAAAGCAGCTATGCAGGAGAAGGGTAGGGAATAAGGGGCTGTTTTCAGGGCCAGAATTTCAAATGTCTAAATGAGGGGTGGGCAGTTTGCTAGGGGATGCCCATGTGGGGAGGCAGGATGTCAGTATTGCCCTCCCTGCTTGGGGATGCCCACGTGGGGAGGAAGAGTTTTCTTGGTGCCTGTTTGTTTGCTGCTGACTGGAGGAGAGGAGCAGGAAATGCAGATGCAGAGCTTGCCCAAGAGTCTCCCTCCAGACCTTGGCTGCAGCTTTGCCAACACTGTCAATTTTATCACGTTCCTTTCCGTATTTCTGCCAGGCCGTTGCAGCCAGCTGCCCAAGCAAGGGCTTTGGCTGTCACTGAGAAGCAAGCTAAGCTTCTAGCCCCACTGTGTGCAGAGGAAACCTTGCAAACATGGCCTGAGAGCTCCATGGAGACCACCAAGCCAGAGAAAGAGCCCAGCATTCATCACCATTATTACTTTCTAATCTCTTGTTTTCTAAGCCAGTCTCCTCATTTCTGCGCTCTCAGTTACGACTCAGGGAATGTTTGGGGCTGGCAACATTGCTAGGGACAGGGTTTGGAGGGCACCTGAAGGCAGCCCTGTGTCTACAGGCCACCCAGACATGGCCTGGGAAAGCAGGCTGCCTTGCACCGTGAGCTAACTGACTTCTCTGTGTCACTGAAACAGCCCAAGACACTATGCTGCACCTGCAGGAGCAGCATTGTCCGTTGCTAACGTCTCTGTTACAGTGAAGGGCTGGATTCACTGCTCTTCAGGTCAGCACACCAGAACTATGTTCATGCTTTCTCTGTGCTCCTCCTTGGACCACAGCTGAGATTCAAGCTTCGCCCACTCATTCCCACCTGCACACACACTCCCAGCCTAGCAATTAGGCACAGTAGACAGAGTAGACTTGCCCTGAGGCTCTCTCTGTCTCAAGAGCCTGACTGCAGGACTGGCTTGGTAGGAGTGAGTGGGTGAGGTGTTGTTCCTTAGCAGCAGCCTTGGGCTGAACGGGAAAGTGGTACAGACACAGTCCAGGGGGACAGAGTGTCTCCTACTGGTGAGGATATAACTGGGTACATTTGAAGTGCCCCAAGCAAACACTTGCTTTATACAGCTAGGAGCCCAATCTGGTCCTCTGTAGGAGGAAGCAGTCCAAGAGCCCCAAGAGAATGGTACCAATACTTTCTTGTTTGTTCTTGACTTGATTTTTTCATTCTTCATCCAGACCTGAGGGCTTTACTCAGGGAGATAAACCCTCTGAGGCACATGAGTCATCTCTAGTGGCAAATACAGAGCAAAAGAAACATTGCCCCTACCCAGCCCCAGGGACAAAGGCTGGGGCAGTTATTCAGCAAAAATACCTACATTTATCAGAAAACCTTCTTGTACTAGAAGAAGCCATTAAAATAACATGAAGTCTGTGTATTTGGTGCAGTCCTCACATTTTTATCCTGGATTTCCATCTCCTCTGAGTTGGGAGCTATTATTTAAAACAGATGTTGTTTGTTAATTAGATATTAATCAAGTCAAATGCTTAACTACTAGTCATGCTAACATTTAAATCCTAAGAGGATAGCTTGTCAGCCTGCCTTTCAATACCTCTTTCCAGAACCTTTAAAGAGAAGTGGCAATGACGTAGGGAAGTGCAGAGGAGAGCTCCTGGGAGCTAAATTTAGGTTCTGCTAGGAAGGATACTCGGGCCCAGGGCTTCTCTATAGTAGGGGTCTGCAAGATGCTTTCAAATCTATATGCAGGGCAGCTTAACATGGGAACTTCAGAGCTTTACAGTGCCAAGAAGAGAGGGGGTGAAGAGGGGAACAGAAAATTAATTGGGCACTAGGGAGAAAAGGCTTCTACAGAAGGGACAGACTCCACCTTAACCTCAGCAACACCAAACTGCATGCACAAAAAATCAGCCAGGGGGTAGGAGTTTATTTAAAACAAGAGCTGAGGAAGAGTGGATGGGTGCTGCAGAACATCAGAGTCATTCAAAGCCTTCTGTCTGCGATATCAGGAACCTCTATACCTAGGGAAGGGCAGGACAGAAATGGCAGGTGCACAGGGGAAGGAAAAGGTTGAGATGTCCCAGAAAGGAGCAGAGAGTTGGATTGTGAAGCTAAATATCCTTGTGTGCCATAGAACTCACTGTTCCAAGAAACATCAGTATTAAGGAAATCCTTCAGTAGCCCTTGTTCTAGAGAGACATCGAAGCAGATGAGTCACCCCCCAGGCTTGATCTCTCTCTGCATCATGCAATCAGTGTCCTTATCTGCATCAGGATGCCTG